GGGGGGGGGGGGGGGGGGGGGGGGGGTCTGAATTGAGCGATCAATTATTAGACCCGGACGTCCCAACACTTGCTTCGCAAGACAAACTCAAGGTATCCCCTAAAGGGCTACCTTTCGTGATCTCAAGAGTCTGTCCCGAAAACTTCTTTCGCCGCAACAAACCCCGGATGGACTGTCGAACTCGATGAAACCTTTCAGGACTAACATGTGAACAGAGAGTTTTCCCATTTAGCACTGTCCCAAGCGCCTTGGTTCCACCACAGCTCACTTCCCCAGGATGAAGAAGTAGTCCAGTGGAGCCAAAGTGCCCATCTAATTCCTCCAGAGCTGTCGAGACAACTGCTTGATGAGGGGAAAGGACACCCAAATTATCCACATACACGTAATGCCGAATACCTTGACTGTCAGAGCCCCTGCAAGCCTCACTTTTGAAAACAACTGGTTCTCCTTTGTCTTGGATGAGGGTGGAGCATGCCAAAGTTTTTGTAAGGCTGCATTGGAACTCATTGATCTTCTGGCTAAAAAACAAAGACCAACTGAACCCCATACACACTGAACCTGGCATAGGGTAAACGATGTCATTGGCTTTCAGCTTCTTCCCATCCAAATTCTGTCCTTGCAAGCCCACCCAAGAAGCCCGGATAGGCTTGAGACAAAAATACTCTGCTAACCACTTCGGTTGCCGCAGTCTATGGAAGCAGTCCTTCACATCGCTCAGCCCAATGTGAATGTTCAGGCTTGCGAGCTCTGCCACGAAGTCGTCTGTTCCTGGGAGAGCGGATGGCGACAGCTCACACTCAATGCGGCTGAATCCTTCGCTCGAGCACAATTCAACTCCTGGAGGTTCCTTAAACATCACATTGGTGGACCTGGCGTCAATAATAAGACGTATTCGTTTCCCATCGCTTTTGTGGACAAAAAACAGGCCTACCTGGTTCTTAGGAGACTGTGTGTACTGCAGGAGCCCGATGCTGTCGAGCTTCCTAATAAACTCCTTGTAATGTCGTTTGCTCCTGGCCAAAACAGGATCCCAGTACGGAGGGGGGGTCTCATCCGGCTGGTCATCCCTAAGCATAAGCTCTTTACCTTCCAAATATCGACGGGCGTCTGGCGGCAAGAGGTCCACTGCATCGGGTAACCCATGCAAACTCTCTGGCAGCGAGACACGCTCGAGGCTGTAAGGCGCGAGAGCAATAGGAGCGGCTGACTGCTGATAGTCAGAACGCCCCTTGAGCAGCTCCGCAAGGGCTGCCTCAGGGCTCGGGATTTTGTCAAAGCTCCCGATGTCATTGGTCATGTTTGCCAAAATTTGAATTCGTTGAAGCACCTCTTGTTGTAGTGAATCAGGCGCCCCATCTGTACCATGCAAAAAATCACTCTTTCCAGGCCTCATTGGTGGTCTCACGAACTCGAATCTTGCGATCCCATCGCTGGGCTGACCTCCGAGATAGCTTCACATCACGTGTCAATCTCGGCAACTCAGGCAGTGGAAAAAGATCACGAGCTCTCTTCGAATGTTCCGGCCTGCCACCTCCCAATGCTGCAAGCTCAAGGTGATCGGCCTGGGAGGACAGCCAACCACCTTTCCTTGCGCTCATGAGGAGGCCGGTGGAGCGAGGGGCTTGGCTTTTGCCTTTCGTTTTGGCGCCAAGCCAGCTCCACCGGCTGCCATGCTTCCATCTGCTACAGCTCCTGCGGCCTCATCCATTGGGACAGCCAACTTCTTGTACTCACGGATTTTGGTCCTTGCTGCGGCCAGTTCCACCTCCTCTTTGCCTTTCCGGGCAGCCCACGATCGAAGTGATGGCATCGCCACATCTTCAGGGCCAGCGTAGCCCGAGATGATCTTTGCTGCCCCCCAGTCTGGGGAAGTGGATGAGCCGCTGTTGTAGGCGTCCACTATGCTCTGGACGCGCCGACCTACTGATTCCATGCTGGCAAGGCTGGTCAGGTTGAGCTGGTCGTAGCAGCCCCCATGTTCGAGGACTTCCATAAGCGCTCGCATTTCATGCATCACACGATCATTCTCTTGTATACCCTTGAAGCGCGCCCAGGATTGAAGCCATAGCTTTGGAGAGCCCCCATGCTTGCGCATGTGTTTTATCAGATGCAGCACGCTCTGGGGGCCTTCGTGAGGCCAGTCTGGGTAAGCATATTCTCGACACTCTCTGCACACATCGCGCCACAGCTTGAAGCGCTCACCTTGGTCATCGTATTCCACAGCAAGCGTTCGGGCATCTTCTGCTTCCTGCGCCTCCTCTCCAGGAGCTGCCGGCTTCTGATCCGGCTCTCCAGCAACTGGCCCAATGTCTTCCTTGAGAGAGGCACGGTTCTTCTCGCGGAGCTCTGACACAAAGTCGGGGGATTCAGCGACCTTCACTAGCTTGCACAAAGTCCAGCCCTTAGGGCCTTCCACTGCGCAAGTATTTGGACTGAGCAATACCGACTGCGCAAGACTATCAACAACCTCAGCGCCCAACTGAAAGTCCGGAGTTGAGTGCATGGCTAACCAAACCTTTCCAGCTGGGGCTGCATCAGCCCTCTGAGGTCCACGGCCTCGTTGCGACTCCTCTTGTTCAACTGGCAGCTGTAAGTGGCCTTGGTCCCTGCCTCGAACCCTTCTTGGGACCAACAAACGTCCCAAGTATTCGGTTGCCTCCACCTTGTCCCCATTCATGTTCATGGCATGTCGTGGTTGCCAACCCAGGTCAGTCCTTCCAAGCAGCCCCAAGTCTCTCAAGGCAGTCTCAACATGCTGCTTGAACTCGGAGTCGGTGGGGTATTCCCTAAATCTGTAAACCGGTCTGCGAACCCTGGAGAAGAACTGGAAGTCTACCCCTTTCACCTGAAAAGTCAAAGGGCCATTGTCAGAATCACCGGAGTAGTCCTCAGCATAGCAGTCTCCATCGGGGGTCAAAACATACCAAGTCTTGTCATCTACCCTCCAAACCAAGAGTCGTTCATGGAAAACATCATCATCAGAGTACCAAGCAAGCACGGTCTGCCCTGGCAGGCATCGTGACAACACCTCCTCCACGTCGTCTCGGGCTTTGGAAAGGTTCATGAGTCGAAGAGCGGCTGGTCCAAATGCACTGCCAGCAGGTCAAGGCGAGAAGCCCCAGAGCAAAGCCAACTAGAACACCTGGTAGGGCCTTGTCTGTTCCCTCACACTGACAGTCACACTGACACCAACAGGTATGGTTCGACGAACAGGTAGGCAACGGAAGATCTGGGTATCGGGGGTAGTGTTTGAACCCAGCTTCCAAGATTCGAGCGACCCACAACAACGCGAGGGCACCCGTACCTCCCATTGCGGTGCCTACCTCCCCCTTCGCATCTTGAGCCCACCACCCATGTGGAGGAGCATATGGTGGTGAAACACACGTCATCCCAAGTGAACTGTCATCTTTCAATCTTCATGTGAACACACGTCCATTTTTAGTGATTATGTATACACGGTTCCTGCGCTAACTTGCTTGCTGTACCCACAAATGTTGGAGCAAATGTGTTGGGTACAAACAACGCATTGCATCGACAGCTTGCAAAAAGGAGGGGCACATCTTGTGAGAAGGGGCACAAGGTGCCCACAAACATTGGAGCCTTCACAAAAGAGTTCCTTCTGACACCCACCGACATCGAGTGTGTTGGCAACACATAATGGGTTGCGTGAAAGCGTGAAAAATGTTCATTCAAAAGAAGGGCGCATGTCCCTGCAGAAGGCCATAGTCATGTACTGCATTCGTGTGGAGCCGCTTTTCCATATGTTTCCAAATTTCTGGTCACGTCTTCAAGATGTAGGAAATCTATACTCCTTAGATTCTTCATCCGCATATGCTCTTGGTCAGATTGGAGGTTCATTTCAAGAGTCGCTTCTTGTGGCAGGTGCAGGACAATCAAATTGCCCTGCCTTTGGACTTCGAATCACAGAAACAACCTCGTGGAAATTCAATTGATGTCCTTGACTCATCCAAGGATTCTAGCGGGTAGTATGCTCAAGAAGCGTACTTTTGTCCATGCAATGTACTACA